GTGGTGTCACCAGGGAACTGTCACTTATTACTTACGCACTTCTCTATTACTTGAAATTTCACTAAAAATTCACGTGTCGTCTATGTGCCAGATAAGACTCTGGCAGATTCAGAAGAACAGAAAGGCAAGGCCGGAGTGACAACATTGCTGTACTGTGCTAGGGGCTGGGCAGGCTCACATCCAGCAGGTGGACCTCAGCTCAGCCAGCCAGTCAAGGCAGAGGAAGTGACGCTTCAGCTAGGTCTTGCACGGTAGGGGCCAGCCATGTGGAGGAAAGGACAGACAGCGCTCTATGAAGAAGGAATGGTGCCAGGAGATTGTTACCATACAAACCACAAGAGGAATGCCACTGGAAAGCAAATTATCAATCTATGTCAAATGCCAGAGGAAGGTAAAAAATTAAGGACAGCAAAAAATCCACTGATTTGGGTGGAAGATGGGCTACCTTAGCAAGAGCAGTTTCCATAGAGTTATGGGAGTCAGACTGCAACGGGTCAAGAAGTAAAATGAGGAGCAAGAACAAAATAAATGCACATTGCTCTCTCAAGAGGATCAAGACTGGAGAAAAGAGGCCGTGTGACCCACAGATGGATATGGGCTTAACGGAGGATCAAATTAGGGGAGAAAAGTTGGAGGGAAAAGATAGCAGAGTTGGAGGAGGGAAGGGCTAACTGCAGAGCAGAGGCTCACTCTCCACCAGCAGGTAAGAGGGCACCTCTTCCACCAGCCCCAGGGCTGGGGGTCAGGTTGGAGAGGCAGCGCTGAGGGAGTAGGAAGCCAGGGTGGCTGCTGGCTGAGGGAAGCAGGTGGTCACTGGCCTGAGGAGAGTCGTGAAGATTTAGGGAGAAGGATGGAGAGGAATCTGACAAGTTGCACAAGGAAGGGCTGTGGGGAGCATTCATTTGGTTGTATTAAACTGCAGGACTATATGAAGGTTTTCTCCTACAATCCTCAGTAGTCTGTGTGTAGGATGAGATACGTGATTTGGTTAACTCTGGGCTAGTTTAGCACAGGAGCTGCAGCAAGTAGAATAGTGGGGTGGAGGGAGTGGCTGGTGCTGGTCAGAGATAGTCGCTAAAATGAAGACTCACACGGCCCAGAATGTAGGGAGAAAAGGGTAGGGGGGGCAGTGGGGCCTCTGAACTAGAGAAAACGGAAGAGTGGGAAAACAAGTGCAGCCAAGTTCAAGAGGGAAGGAGGAATAACTGATATGGTCAGAAAAGGAAATATTAAAATTTAATAGAGGTCCAATAAAGTAAATTGGTCTTAGAACCTAAATTAATTAAACTTTGTTTCAGTTGCATATAACAGAAAACCCCAAAATAAGAAGTTTATCTTTTTTCACTTAAATGAAGTCCAGAGGAAGGTAATATACAATTCTGCTGTGGCTCTGCAGTTACCAGTAGCCCAGGCGCATCTATTTTTCTGCCTTGCCATCCTAGGACATGGCTTCTAGCCTCAAGTTTACCTCGTGATCTAACATGGCTGCTGTGCACCAGCCATCACAACCATTCCAAGAAGTAGCACCAAGGAAAAAGGGAAAGGAAAAGGTATACCTGTCAGCCCTCTTTAAAGAGTCTTCCAAGAAACCCACCCAACTCATTCACTTTCATCTTTTTTTGGCCAGAATTTTACCACCAAACTCAGCATCAAGGAAGGCTGGGAAAAGTCATTTTTGATTCAAGGTTAGATCAGAGTTCTGCCACCGAGGAAGAAGGGAATGCTGGATAGTAGGTAGGTAGGCTGCAGTCTGGCACGGAGACCCAGGCCAATTCTGATACGAAGGCGGGACATTACTTCCCAAGGGTTACAGGAAAATAGAATCCTCTGCCTCTGGCTGTCTCGTAGAAGCTGCTACCCCAGGTACAAAGAGAATTTGCCAAGCCCAGAGAGTCCCCACTAGTGAGTCGGGGAGGAAGCCCTCCCTGTGATTTTTCAGTGCAGCCATCCAGAATAGTCTGCATCTTCAGCTGCCTGAAAAAAGACACCATCCCATCATTTTTTTCAGTCTGGTTTTAGGCTGGCGTGAATATTGAATGGACCGTCTTTGAAAACTCTGCATCAGGGTGAAGGGGTCACAAAGAGAACTCAGTGCCTTCCTCATGAATGCTCTACTGTCCACAGCTTCCGCCCACCATTCATATCACCCAGTTGGACAATGGGCTGGATTCTTCCCCTGTGTCTCTGTCCCTCTGCCCACACCGCTCCCTCTGAAGTTCCATTTATCACTAAACGACGAGGAGGAATGCATCGGAAGAGTGGATCCCAAGAATCCAGAGAGTAGAAAATGCCGTCAATCCCTTCCTTCTCTGCTAACATGTCTTTGCAGAGCCCTCTCACGTGACCACCCTGAGCCCTTCAAAAGAGACGGGGTGCTTAGATGTAGACTTCATGGCTCTAGACCCCTCTCGTGTTTAAGAGCTAAATCCTTTTTGGTGTCCAAACCCGGTCATTTTTCTGTTTTCCTACGGGAAGCACCCTTTTTTCTTTAGCCTAAGCACTAAATTCAGAAAAGCAGTCATCTGCCAGTCACAAAAGGAAGCAATAACACCTGATCCTCTTTAACCACTTAATAACATTTGTTACATACAATTTAAAAACAAATTTCCTAAATAAAATTTTAGAAAATGGATAAACTGAAAACTGGACTCTCATCCCCCAGTTGTGGCAACTAATAAAAATCACTTTTGTGCTACAGTTATTGGATACCTTACCTTTCTACTTGGTTTCCACCATGAAAAAAAAGACCACATCTCACTTAGATGTATGTATATTAGTTTACGGGAAGTTATGTAAGTTAAGTAATCTATATGAATGGGAATCATAGAAATCTGTAGCTGTGCCACTGGCATCTAATGAATTAACGACAAAGGTCCCACAGGGCAGTTTATTCCCCAGTGCCGTAAGGCTTCAAAGCCATCACACCCTTGAAAGATTTGCGATTAAGTTTACTTTTTTTAAAAATGTTTATTTCTATATTCTGGAGGGAGAGAGACAGAGTGCAATCAGGGGAGGCGCAGAGAGAGAGGGAGACACAGAATCGGAAGCAGGCTCCAGGCCCTGACCTGTCGGCCCAGAGCCTGACCAGGGGCTTAAACTCACCAACCGAGAGATCATGACTTGAGCTGAAGTCAGAGGCTTAACCAACTGAGCCACCCAGGCGCCCCCACCCTTACTCTTTTCAATGTCTTCTTCTTTTTTTTTAATGTTTATTTATTTTTGAGAGAGCAGGACAGAGCACGAGCAGGGGAGGGGCAGAGAGAGAGGGAGACACAGAATCCGAAGCAGGCTCCAGGCTCCGAGGCGTCAGCCCAGAGCCAGACTCAGAGCTCGGTGTGGGGCTCCCTAAGGGGCTCAACTCACCAGGGGTGGGATCATGACCTGAGCTGAAGTCTACAGTCGGAGGCTTAACCCACTGAGCCACCCAGGCGCGCCTAAAATTAATTCTAAAGATTCAAAGTGAATTCACAGTTCTCACACTCACAGAAAAGTCTGTGTGTTAGTTGGGGTGTTGGAGCTTCAGGAACACAGCCCGAGCCCCCCGGGCCACTTCCAGCAGGGACGGCACATGCCGCTGGTCCCCGTGGCCGCTGCAGCTGCGTGTGTGTGTGTGTGTGTGTGTGGCTGGTACTGTGGCTCAGCGGGGCCTGTGTCCCCACGCCACGTGCCGTCCTTCCCAATCACAGACTCCTACTTTGTATTCCTGCGTGGAAACGGTTGAGAGGCGGCGAATCAGGGGGCGATCGTGAATACATCCAGAGAAAGCGTCCCCCACGTTTGGTGAACAGCCGACGAGCGTCTGCATGGCAAAGAGGCAGAGGGAGAGGAAGGCCCTACCTTTCCTGGTGCTGGCGGTGCGGGCAGGTTGCTGGCGACCGGCTGCACTGGACCACCCAGGCCGTGGCAGGTGTTGTAATCCCCACACCCCCCCCCCCAGGCGGAACCCCCGAGAGAGGCCGGCGGGAGCAGCCTGTGAGCTGCTGTTTACTGTCTGCGCTGCTTTACTAGGCACCACGCGGAACATCCTCCCATCTCAGTAATGAAGAGACACGCAACTGGCAGCCCTGAGACACAGGCAGCGGAGCCCAAAGTAGTCTCACTTCACGGCTGGGCGGCTCCGCTTCGGCTTCCGCATCCCAAGGCACCCTTACTTTCGGAAAGAGCTGTCGGACCCGTCGGTACGAGGCCAGAGTGAAGGTTGCCAGAGGGGAGGGAGTGGGGGGATGGGCAAAGCGGGTGAAAGGAAGTAGAGGCACAGGCTTCCGTTCGCGGAATGAGGAAGCCGGAGGGATCAGAGGTGCGACACGGGGAGGACAGCCGGCGGTGTCGTCGTAGGGTTGTGTGGCGACAGATGGCAGCTACACTTGTGGCGAACACGGCCTGACACACAGACTTGTCAGATCGCCGTGTCGCACACCTACAACGAACGTCATCCTGTGCGTAACTGTACTTCAACGTTGTTTAGTTGTGGGGGGAAAAAATTCTTTTTCATGGTGAAAAAAATAGTGGTCTTTGCTAACTGTGGAACTTGGTGCTCGGGAGTCCAAATAATCCGGACGTCTCTGTCCAGCCCAGCTTTCTGCGCGGCTGGAATTATTCCGTGTCCGTGCTTTCCAATATGGCAGCCCCTGGAGGGTCCTGGGCACTCGCAACGCGGCTAGGGTGCCTGAGGGGCTGGGTTTTTATTTTTACTTAATTTTAATGAATTCCAGTTTAAACTTAAGTAGCCACACGTGCACCAAGTTAGAGCGAGTCCATAAAGTCAAAAGAATTTTTTGTTCAGTTAGGAAATCTTACCGGCTCCCACAGCAGCTCGTGAAACTCGGTTTCCTCGTCGATACGGATGCGGACCAGGAGCGCAGAAGCCCGCGGCTTCCTGGTTCCCGCCAAAACGAAGGTTCGTTTTCGCATTTCATTACAAACGGGACTGATTCAAAGCTCTTCTGAGTGAGCAGGTCGCTCAAAAAGTTCAGCAGAAGGTAAAAAAGGGAAAAGATCAACAACTAAATGGAATCACACACCCTCCTAAAGGATCCGTTTGAAGCTTTCATGTGTAGGCAACGAGAATGACACTTTTTCCGTCAAGCTATACACAAAATGAGTAACTGCAAATCACGGGATCCCACAGACGTGTGTCTTACCAGGAAGACTTTACAACGGTTTAAAATGTAGACTTTGTTAGAATTTTATTCAAAAAAATGGCTCCCAAACGTTTTTAGTCCTCCGACCTGGGACAAGTTAATTAACGTCTCTAACCCTCAGTTTGTTTGTTACACAATGGGATGATGATGATAGTACCTACTTCACAGGACTGTTGTGAGGACTGAATAAGATAAGAATTAACGAGGCTTTAGCCCTCACATGGTAAGCATTCAGGAGTAGATAAATAAACGGTGGCTGTTATTATGTTGTTGTCACTCCTCCATAAAGTGAAGGCTAATCATCACGTAGAGAAGTCCAGAGGCTCTCCCGGGTATCAGTCATACCCTGGCATTCTTAATTTAGACAGCCAGAGATGGCTAAACTCGCTAGGACTTCTAATTGTCCATTCGCGATGGTTCCTTCACACTCCGTGTGCTCGGGAGGATCTCTGCCTATTTAAGATATAGGCCATTGTCCAGCCAACAGGGTATCTCACTTGGATACAAGGAATCACAGAGTTTAAGGAGTAAATTTATGGATAAAGCATTAACCTTGTCCTAAACGCCAAGGCCTTTGGGGATTTATCGGTCTTTACCTTACAAAAGTGGAGTAAATGCTATGTACGTACTCTCTTTTAAGGATAAAACCAAAAACTGAACTTTTACCTGCTAAAATACCAAATCCGAAACTTGTGTTTTAAAGGCTGGGTCGGCGTTCCACGCTCAGGTGTCCTGTTGGAACCACTGTGTGACGATTATGTGGCGAAGAGATGGGCTGGTAATGAAAGTGAATTAAACATATCTGGGGATACACTGTTGTACATCTGATGTCGTAAGAAAAACTCTCATCCAGACTCGATAATTTAAAAATATGTGTGCGTACCTACACCCATACATACGCGCACAGGTGTTCACGTGGCCTTACCTGTTTTGAATGTTGTATGCAGGGAATACAGGGGAGATCGTAAGTAAAATTACATCCAACTATGCAAATTTAATGAAAATTTTAAATCTAATTTTCATCAGAGCCATCCGGTTTTAATCATTTCCTGCTTCCCAAATCAAATCTTTTGAAAGGGCTCTCCCAATGCGTTCCGCGAGCGACTCACATGAGCCCCGGCGTCTCCTCTCATCTTGTGCCCTTTATGACCCTCTTTTAGTGAACAATGGATAACATTGAAATAGATTTTTAAAAGTTGTTTTATACTGTTTCTTAGCCTTGGGATATAAAAGTCAGGAAAAGGAACAACTTGCTTTTAAACAAAGTGAAATCAAAACGTTTTGCCATCTTCCACTCTGAAATAGCCACTGGGATGAGCTGGGTGTTCAGTGCACGGGTGATCCTAGCACGGGCTCCCTCTGTGACTCCTTTCCGAGAGCAGTTTACAACAACCCTGTGAGGCTGACGGGGAGCCTGGAAAGAACCACCAAGGGCCAGTGAGAGCTCGCAGCCTGCCCCCAAGGACCGAAAATCCATCCAGAAGCCCCCAGAACAAGCCTCTGAAGCAAAGGAGAGGCTTTCTCAAGCACCCAGACCTTTCTCCTGTCCTCGCTTTTTTCCTTCCCTCCCCTCTTGACCTCAGTCACCACTGAGTGATCACACAGGTCTAGGTGCTAGATGTAGGGATAAACAGTTGAATGGGAGTAGCCCGTGCCCTTCAGGAAATCACAATCTGATGAGGGAAAGAGATAAGTAAAACTCACACACGCCCACCCAGAATAAAAATCGGTTTATGATTGCTGTGCTGTGTAATAGATGAGCTCCTGGTGCTGGAGTGGGACCCGAAGCTCCCTGGGGCTCCCGGTGTGGGTGACTTCTCCATTCTTGTCTCGTCTTCCCAGAATGTTGATTGCAGCACATTCTTCCTGGGCTGCCAGAGGATGGCCTTTGTACCGCTGATGCTGGCCTCATTCTAAATAGATTCCAGCCTCCCGCAGGGCACCAATCCTTGCTCGGCATTTGGCTGGAAAGCTGTGGAGCACATGATGCTGCCCGCAAGAAGCCCACCGGTTAGTGGAAAGCAGTCGATCGTAAATCACCAATAAGCACAATGATATGTCAGGGGCAAGATATTCTGAAAGCAAAGAGAAGGGCAGTGGCTGAACCACATTCAGGGAGCGTGGGGAAGGAGTAGATGCATAGCCCACCAGACTCCTGAGAAGTCCACTAGATAAGGGGACCCCAACCATGTTCATTTTCACTCGATTCCCTCTCTCAAGAGGAAAAACACATCAACAGCGAAAATAGATACAGGCTATATTTACTACACTATCAAAACTTGAAGCTTTACATAGAATATAATGGTGGCCAGAAGAATCTTGCCTCTCAGAAGCAACTGTAAGAAAGTTGTGAGTTTGTCCGTGTATTTGGTTTTGGTTTTGGAGTTTGTTTTGGAGGGGCTAGCTTTTTTGCTCGTCTGATTCTTTTAGAAATCTCAGCAGAATAAATAACAGTTGGCAACAAAAAACATCAGTGCTGGTCTGCCCCAGCAGTCAAGCTCTCAAACAATCTTCAGGAGCCCTCAAAAACAGAACACAAAAAGTACCTCCACCGGGGAAAAGGGGGGTGGGGGGCAGAAAGAACAACAACAACCCCCGAGCCTCTACATTTTTGGAAAAGTCCAGCATGCAGAAGAAGCCTCCTTGCTTGGCCTACATCTGCCTATTGGTAATTTGTAATTCAGGTTAAAAACAAAACAGAAGTGGGCATTGTTCTGATACTTGCCCTGATAACATCCCAAGAAAACTCTAGAGCTGGCAAGAGAGAAAAGCAGATAATGGTCAATGCTGTCATTTGAGTTTAAAAAGCACTGTGATTTTTCTTTTAAAGGAACATCTTCAGTTTCCAAGACCGTACACATGGTTTCTGACCGCAGCTCAAAATTTTCCACTGGGCTCCCTCCTGAGAACACCGCTCAGCGGGGAGTGTGCGCCGCCTGCGCGCGTCCAGCCTCCCCGCGGGGCCCTTTGCAGAACCAGGGGCTGCCGCACCCCACACCGGAAGCCCAGACCTTACCTAGCAGAGGCTCGCTTTATCCGCCACACTGCCACACCCCCATCAGACGTATTTTCCGTTTCTCCTTTGCCTATAAAAATGAGAAGGATTCATCAGGTTGGAATTTAAGGCCTTTATAATCATAATTGATCCTTCTAGGCTGATCAGAAGAATATATTTATTAAGTGCTCTAAAGTTAACACAATGAACATTCACATATAACATATTATTTAATCCTTCAAATAGCGCTTTGAAGAAACTGTTATGGCCCCCACTTCGCAGTGAGGCAGATTCTTAGAGAAGTAAGTTGCCTAGGGTCACGGGGGTGGAGCCTCGGACTCTAACCCCTTCTTCCTGCGGTTGGATCTCCCCCCAGGCTGCTACCTGCTGTTCCCCAGGGGGCACTAGCCACCTGCCCCGGCGACTCACTCTGCCTGGAGTTACACTGCCTGTTTATCTTTGCCATCCTCATTCGTCCCCTCTTCGGCAGTGCCCGTCTCAGTCACCCCGGCTGCCACGGTGCCTCCCAGGGCTAATCCATATAGGGCCGTGCTGGGCCTTGTCTCTGGGGCTTTGGCTATCGATGCAGCTGGGCAGAAAGGGAGCAGTTTTTCAGATTTGGCTTCAAACCTCAGCTCTGGCCTTTAAACTGTGTGGTCTGGGGAAAGTTACTTCACTTCTATGACTCTCCATTTCATCGGCTCTCAGGGGTGCACCACAGTGCCAACCGAACAGGGCCGGCCTGGCACAGAGGTGGGCTCACTCTGCAAAATGCAGTACCCTGCACAAATACTCAATGAGAACCGGCATTGAAATAAGGAGTCCATTAAATACACACACACTATGAGACTTCTGCTTAACACGAGCCTAAACATGTGCATTCATCTCTGCCCCGGTGTTACATGCCAATTAAATGACAGGGGGAAAAAAAGGCGTAAACTCCTAAGAACAAAGAAATGGGAAGGGAAGGGGGAGGGCCGGAGGATGGCACATCGAGTGTATGAAGACATCATACGAGACAAGTATAAAGCTTTTTTTATACAGAAAGACACAAAAGTGTATTCCCCCTGTTCTCTTTCTCAGGAAGCTACTAGAAGATGCACTTCAGCCAAATGGGGACATACAGCAGGAAAGAAGACATGGAACCCAGAAGGCAGAAGCTCGGACCTGGGGGAAAGGCAGAGGGCCCCGGCTGGCCGCTGGGCAGCAGCCAGCCGGACCCAGTCCAGATGGGAGCAGGGCAAGGGTGAGGACGCCAAGAAACAAATGGAACAGGTCGAGTGTTCAGAGCTGTGCCTGGGAGTTGGAAAAAATTAGTTCTGGCCATGTGACAGATTGGTTGGTAGAGCAGGGGAAAAATGGAACAATAAACACATAGAAAGCTAAGCAGAGGGAAACACAATCATTATTTACTCCACGGCCCCGGCGGAGGAACTGGGGGTGGGGGGAAGAAATTGTAAGAGAAAGAAACTGTAAACATAGAACACACCTTGGTCCAGAAGGGATTACGTACGTAGTTTAAAATCATGTAATGAAGCAATATTGATTTCACCAAAATAGGAGCTATGACTCCGTTACAAGGTTGTAGGTTTTGGTAGGAATGGTGGGGATTACATAAGAACTAAGCCCTCATATGGCAGAATAAAAAGTCAACAGGTCTAATATCCATAAATCAGTATATAGCATATTAAGCACACTGCTTAGAAATATAGTGGTAAATCTCAGAAGAGTGGCCAGAAATGAAGGTGCTGGTTGCCTCTGGGGCAAAGTACTGGGATAAGTATGGGGGCTGGGCAGTGGACTGAAATATTGCACTGAAAGTCTTTCGGTTCTACTTAAAGTTATAAACTAAAGTTATAAACTAAAACTTAAAGTTACAAACATTTATTGTTTTGATAAAAATTTTTAAATGGTTGATGTTTTCGCTACTATTTAGTTAAATAGCGTAGAATACAATTAAAACCTGTATCTTATAAATTTAAACAGCAGAAGGTCATTTTACCAGTATGATCAGCAGGCATTTTGCTCTTCAGTGGGACAGAACTGGTAAATAGAAGCTTCAAGCTGAAAAGACCCATGGTTGTCACCTATGATGGTCCTAGAAGAGTATTATTACTGCTGATAGCATCTGATGGCGCCTGTTGACTCTGGAGACTTAATAATGTATTTCAAATGCAATGCCTCTGAAGACTTAAAGACTTAGCTGTTTTCATGATAGAGAATAATTTAAGAAAATGTAAGGGGAAGGAAAGGTTAATGACCTGAAATACGTAAGTGACCCGTCTAAAGCGAGCCAAGCCGTTTGCTGGCTTTTCCCTTTTACGTACACTTATAAAACATGTGGCTTTGGGAAAGTCAGGAAGATTTGTTCTCTTTGTTTATAAAATTGGGATAATCAGCTTCTCCAGGATTACAGTATATCCTTATTAACATCTTAGAATCCTGATCCGTACGCATGTAGAATTGTACAAGATTTACACCTTTGAAACCTGCCCAAGAGCATATGGTTATTAGAAAGATCTCAAAAGGACCTTCTTTATGGGTGATTTTGGTTGTGTAAGACAATTCCATGATACGTTTCCCAAGGACCGATGAAATCCTCGGTCAAGTGGAACCCACGTGGCAGTTGGGCATGGTTACAGGCATTGAGTGGAGAGATATACAGAAGAAAAGATTCTTGTCCATAAGGAACTTACAGTCAAACTAAGGATGTGTGAAAGCACAAAGCTACCAGAGAATGGGCAATTTGAGATAAATGCCTATGAGTAATGCGAGCCCCCGTGGGTGGCTCATCCCAATACGGAGTAAAGACTTCACCACTCTGTTGGTGCTGATTGTCCCCTCGATGTCCAGTCACCTCCTGCCACCATGTCATCAATCTGTTGTGCAATCGGAAGAGAGAATGTCTAGGCTGAAATGGTGGTCATGATAAAGTGTTCATTGCATGACCACTTAAAACACCGTTATTTAATTAAGCCGCTGAATCCTAAGCCCACTGGTCCTTTCTTACTCCCCTACTCC